CGCAGCCAGCGGGCTGGAGGAGCGGCGTGCACGGAAACTTGAGACTGCATGTTTTGTTTACAAGAAAACGTCAGGATTTGTTGATTGCGTTTAGAAGAGGGAGGTGCCCGCTGTCTGTGCAGCCATGCAGGGCTGGCTGGGGCAGCAGGGCCGAGGTGAATCTCAGCTTGTGCTGAGCAGCCCGGTCGGGGTCTCGGGCTTGCGAGTCCCGCTGGGGCTTTGGGGGGCGCGAATCCTCTGCCTGTCATCGGTGCGCTGTGCTCAGGCTTTCATGAGTGGGCTTCAAGGGGTGTCTCATGCTCTCATAAACCTGTTTGTTTGAAGACTGAAAGGAGTTTATGTAATCAGCCTGGATATTGACTGTGAAAGAGCTTTGGAGAGCACAGACACCAGGGAGGGAAATAACTGGCTGATTCATTGGCCGTGCCTTTGGTGGCAGTAGACTGATGCTCTTTAGTAAATGTTCAAGTTCTCTGTCCCAGCCTTTGCCAAATCCCCAGAATTTACAGATGTGAACAAAATATTAGAAAAAAACCCCACTAAATCTTAGATTTAAAAATGTAATTGCTCTTTTTTTTGAAAGTTTTAGGGTTTATATTTTCCTTGCTGCTTTTCATTTTTCTGTGACAACAAAAACAAGACACATAGGGTTTCTTTTTTAAGGAAGGATTGATATCTTCTAGTTACATGACATCAAAACCTGGGGGGATCTGAACAACGTTGTGTAGAAGAAGAGTTGCTGTAAAAACACGGGAACTGATGACGCTGCATCAATTGCCATGTTGTACCATATTGCTGCACTGCCTGCCTGCATTCCCTGGTATGGGAACTGCTGTGTTAAAATAGGGACCTGCCATGGAATGTTTTTCAAAGGTGAGGTGTTTTCAGGCCAGAGCACACAGACAGGGTAGGCTTAGCCATTCCTGAGTCTGTTTGAAAAACAATCAATGGAATTGCTGTCTTACCTTGTGGAATCATCCAGAGATCGTGGTTGAGTTCTGTTCACTGTATAGCCTAATGCCTCTGCCCTGACGGTGCTAGTTTTTTCTACATTTAGATTTCTTTTCAGAAGTACTGCACTGTGGGTGAATTTGGTTATAAGTTAATTAAATTAGTGAACCCTTTTCTGAGCATGTCGGTATACACAGCAGGTTGTGTCCTTATTATGCATAAAGAAAGACTTATGAATTTATTTACCTTCAGGTGATATGCTAAACAGGAATCTGCTGCTTGTTTCTTACGAGCATTCAAAAATGGCATCATCAGTGGAGCTTGCACTAAGCTAGGTTTACTTGATTAGATGTAATTTTTCTCTTCTTCCGTACTGTCTGGTTACTTAGCTCCTTTGGTTTTAAGGATCTTTAGAAAAATAAATGTCTTCCATACTGAAGATGCCATAAGAAAATTTCTGTTCTATATGACAAAATTAGACTTCTTTATCTTCTACCTCTCCTGTTCTACATTTGACTGCTGGTTTATATTGGAAGTCTAACGGGAGTACTAAAAGTGGCCAACAATTTAATTGACATATTGGTACGCATCTTATATTTTTACATATACTTAAGGAATCTCCATATAGGGCAATTTTTAGTGTCCACAATGTCACAAACTATTTCCCAGATATTGAGTAGTACTCACTTCTGAAGAGTTCTCTGTCTGAAGAGTCTGCAGATACAGAGTGGAGAAAAGATCAGTGAAAATTATTTGATTGATAGACATACAGAAAATACTGGTTAAGAAGACTTAAACACATTTCCTTGTTGTCTCTTAATATTTCTTGAACTTTACATAAGCAAGCAGTTCAGTTTGTAATGGAAGGAATGTTTATCTGAGATTTTTGGACAGAAGTAGCTCTTAGACACTGCTTCCAGGCAAAGCACAATTCCAGTTGCTTTGGCTTTCCATGTATTTTCCTGCTAATTACAGTGTGTCAATACAGTGTGGTTGCTCTCTGGCTATGCTGACCTCCAACTCTAACCTTCCAATACCACTGATTCCTTTGGGCCATGGCTCATCTAACCCTGAACAGCTTTGGGGAACCCAAAAGATCTAACCTTATAAACAAAGAGTTTAAAGTGCTTTTTTGTGGCTTTATGCTCAAAACTGAAGTTGGATTAGCATTACAGCTGGTGCAGAGATAAACAGACAAATGCCTTTGTTGTGGTACAACACAGGATACTGAGAGAGAGACACTGCAATGAGTAAAGACAAATAAGAAAGGAGGGGGAGTTAATAAACAATTGCCAGTTATGATGACTTGAGTCATACTTCATCATATTTGGTGTTTTTATAGAAGGTTAAGCTGTAAAGATTATACAAATAAATGAGAATCGCAGCACTACTTTTATAAGCCCCCTATTTGGGAAGCAGTAGACACCCGAGCTAGAAACTAAGTGAACAGAAAGAGAAAAACTAATATTCTCCCTGTGTATTTTAAAATCAAGCAGTATTTTGAGCAGACTTTTCAGATAAGAGTTGTTTATATGGCAAGAAGAGATCATAAGGAATTCAGATGTTGATGGATGCATTGGGAAATACATTTATAGAAGGATCAGATGAAGACAGAAGGTGTTTTTTAAAAACAGTAGCTAATGTAGTTTGAAATGTGCTTACTATGGAAATAGATGGACATAGTTACAATTTTGGGTGATGTACCATTTCAGAAACCTTATTAGGTGGTCACAGAGAAGTACAGGAGGAACATCTTTTAGAGGCAAGGGGTAGCATGCGTGACCTAAACAGCAGCTGACATTTCATATACCTTTGGATAGTCTTCCTTGTCTTCAGCCTTCTCCTATGGAAGCAAGTCTGCCATTGTTCTGTGTCCTAGATCCTGGTAAATCTAGTGTTCATGAAATGTCTCTAGATGACAGTGTTTAAGCACTGAGTCCCTCACAGACTGTATTTATTATTTACTGTCCTCTTTGACCCTACCCATAAATGGTTTGTTCACCTATGTGCTTTGCCTGTTACCTGCTAGTTAGGCAACAAAAACATTTTAATCAGGAGAACAATGACTAATCAGTGCTGCTGTTTAGTGTGACATCTCATATTTTTCAGCATTGAAAGTATTATTTGTAGTAATTTCACAGTAATTTGAATGCTGCAAAATAATGAATGACTAATGAGTTGATCTTATGAACTGTAGCAAACACAAAGAACCTTTTTTCATTTATACAAAAATAAGATATTTGAGCTGCACTGATTGGGCACTGAGAGAATGAAATGCAGGATATAATGGAGTCTTAGCTGGCAAACACCCATTGCTGACCATTAATTAGTTTGCAGTTATTTTGATGAGAACACAGGTACCTAGTATAGAATTAAATTGATTTTGCAGTGTTGTGGTTTTTTTCCCTTTGATAGATCTGTTTTTTCATTTCCAAAATGGAAAAGCGTACCCCTGAAAAGCAAGTGCTGTTTCCAAATTGTCCACAATCAAAATCATATCCAGACACACACAGAAGTTTGAAGTCCTCCATAAAGAAGCTTAAGGAAGGAAATTTTTTATATAGTATTTCTCAAAACATTTTCTAAGTGTACCAACCAAGTTTGCTTTGAGCAAAGCAGTAATTCAGACGTACCTGGCTGATAGCAGTTTTTTGCGTCCTCTGTAATCTTTCTGTGTAATTGGGATTCAAATGTGAGCAATGTGAGGAATCTTCTGTGACAGCCCAGGGGGCTCGTGGCATGCAGAGACAGCCTGATGGAGGGGATTCTATCTGCTTAATTTGCAGATGTGCTCTGAGAACTCGATCTGCTGTGGCTAACTGGCTGTGACTGGGTTGTTTCCTTTCCTCTCCTCTCTTCAGATGGCACAACAAGAAACCCACCAGTCTCCAGAAGCTTTAACTCTTTGCTGTGGAAGAAGCTCAGAGTGACAGCAGGTGCCTCTTAGGTTGTAAATATCTGCAGCATACGCTTGTTTAGGGTTGAGTTTTTTTACTCTGTTACACCTATCAACCTTGTGATCATCTTCAGAATTTTTCAGTGCCATTTTAAAGCATAATTTAAAATAAATGTTGAGTTAAAAAATAATTTCAATAGGTAGTAAAAGAAAACAGTTCTTGCTGGTTGGCATACTACTTTCCCCAGGAGTGCTCTGCTGCAAGCAGGCAATGACATTGAAACAGAGCAAAGGAAATGACAAATGCATGCAGTTCACTGAGTGAAGGCTGACTAAAAAGTCCAACTCAAAGTCCACTGAAGTAATTAGAAATGTCTTTTTTTCTCCTTCAGTGGCCTTCTGATCAGACCTTGAAAGACTAATAAAACTTTGCACCCTTCTATGGCATTTTTCATCAGTTTCACAGTGCTTTTCTCCAGCACCAAATAAATACTGAGAGGCTGGGAAGTCCACTGGGAACATATCCTTTCAACAGCTAGCAGTGCTGGGGCACAGAGGATAAGCCACTTGCATAACACAGCACAACAAATAAACAGAAAAACCTGGAAAACAATTTACTCTTCATAGCTCCCTGCTTTTGTTTTCCTGGCCCTACTTCACCCACTCCTGAGTTACAACATCTGCTGCACAGTATTTTAGAAATATCTCAACTCCCATTTGAAACTGCTGTGAGAATAGAAATAGAAGGAACTTGAAATGGAATTTGATTAGTACAGCAAAGCAAACACACCAAATGTTTGTGAAAATTGTCTTGAGACACTGAATAACTGTAATGCAGATAGGATGTGCTGATGTTTTTCATCTGAAATAAGAGTGCTAAGGCAGTGCTAAGGCACTGTGCCCTGTAGCATCCATATGGGCCTTTTCTTCTGAAACAAAGATAAAAGGAAATTGTAGCGCAGAGTTGAATGCTGAAGAACTTTCCCCAAAGTTGAGGGCTTTCAGATCACATTTGTTTGTATTTTCAGTAGGGCCAACTCAACAGCTTTTTATCTAAGTGTTTGATGTATTTTGACTCTTGTTTGGGTCTGTGGTCAAAGATCTACCAGCAAAAAAAAAAAAACAAAAACAAAAAAACCCAAAACCCAACAAACATTTAAGTGAAAAATCTAGTCCCCAGTTGTGTCACTTTAATATTTTACATTAATTTTGTACTTTTTCTACCAGTTGATATGCCTTATCTTTAGAAATTCTTTTTCCAGTTACTGTAGTTGAGAAGATGGAGAAATTAAATTTTTTTGGTGACAACAGCGTGCCATTGTTGGATGAGGACATGGTCTGTCCAAGCTGGTCTCTGACTGTCAGTGACAAAGTGCTTTGGAGAAGCTGCAGCAAATAGCTTCAGATTAATGTAACTACATGGTAGGCAAATTATGTTGAAAACTGTCCTGGTCATAGCAAGAAGACTTCCATCCTGAATTTAACTGGCAAAGAACCCATGTGAAAAGGAATAAATAGACTTTTCTTTCACAATTTCTGTTTTAATAACACAGACAGAGCTAGTATATTTTCAGCAGATTGCTCACTGTTATGGAAATGCTTTATTTCACTTGATTTTCTTCTTCTACAATTAATTTCTTAAAATAATTTGTTGTTTGTGTCTTCTTCATCCCAAATCATTCCAAATTGCATTGAGATATTTCCAGGCTTTTCAGCATATTTTCTGCCAGTAAAACACAGTCATCTCTGAGCTGAAATGTAGCTGGCTTCCTGTGGGTTGCAGTAATGCACTCCAGCTCAGCAGGGAAAGGGAAAGCTGCCTTACTCATTTGTGTAGGGTTTACCAGCCAGAATGCAAATGTGCTGGATACTTAGCCAGGACCCACAGGCTGAAACCTGTAAAAAAAGGGCACAGGGAGTCCAGCATCCTACAGTCTTCAATTTTCTGTCTCATCTAAAACTGACAGTAAACAGTATTTAACTTGTGAGGGAGAGGGCTTTATTTGGAGGGCTTATCTAAAATATGTGACTGAATCCAGCTGTGCTTTGACTGTCAGATGCTGGGCAATCACATTCCAGGGGGCAGTGGCTGCTGCAGTTTGGATGAAGTGTTACTCTTGCCATGGGCTTTCAGGTTATCTTTAAAGGGAGCAGTACTCTTGAAGCCATTGGAAATTCATAAAAAAAAATTCTGCTCAGGTATGGCACTGGCATAATAGCACTGAAATCCAAAAGGATCAATATGCTTGCTTGCAATTAAAGCCCATGAATATATCCTTTAAAAGCTCATATGAGCTGGGCATGAGAGGCACATGTTTTTGTCCATCTAGAGGTCAGCTCTCAGGCTCAGTAATGCACTCAGGAAAGCAGATGCAGCTCCCATCCCCACAAATTGCTGATGCATTAAGTGTGTGCCCTTAAGGCCTCCTGCTGAAGGCAATGGCAAACATCCAGTTGATTTTAACAGGATTAACTGTGTAGATCACATTGAATTGAGAGATGTTGGAAGGAACTTCATCTGAAAGTTTTTGTCCTTCGTACCTTTCAGTTTTTTCCTCCAGCTGGGTTGACCTGCACCTGCTTGTGGCCAGAACTTGGTGCCTCTGTGTTTGCTCCTGGAGCTCTGCCTCCCCACAGGTGGTGGTAGCAGGAGGAGGAGGGAGAAAAGTAGGGCAGGACAGTAGAGCAGGGAGGGCTTTCTTCTGCAAATGTAGGTTTGCAGATGTCTAGACAAGAAGGAGGCAGTTTTCTGCCTGCAGGAAAATGGGTAACTGCTTGACTCAAAATGTTTTATGTCTTTCTCAAGCAGGAATTCCCAGAATCACACCTTTCACCTGGCCTACTTTTAAAGCACCATCCTGGGATGTTTGTTAAGGCAGCAGCCACGGTGCATAGCTAACAACAAGCATTTGTTAAGGACAGGCTTGAGTTCCAGCTTTGCCTGCCTCTTTGCGCCGTGGGGGCTGATGATGTGCACTGCAGGCTCCAGCTCAGCGCGGTGGGTGTAGGAGTGCCCTGCTGGCAGCTGCTTTTGCAGCATGGAGGAGGCACAGCTTTCTGGGCCATTTGTGAGGGTGTTCCTGAGGAGGCTGCGCTTTCTGGGTTGCATAAGCAGCTATGACAGGCTGCCAAAGGGGCAATCCTGCATCCTTCCCTTGCTCACGCTGTCCCCTCGTATAGGCAGTCGTGATCGAACAGCTGAAAGGCAGATCGGAGAATATATCTTTAAAACAGAATATTGTATGCATTTGCTCTGTTTACTCCCAGGTTTTGTGTTGGTGGTTTATTTTGTATTGGTGGTTGATTTTGTCTGCCCAAGAGATGGACTGGAGTGGTGGACCAGGAGGTGAAGAGGAAGTGGGGGTGGTGGTGGCCTTTTCGGGAGCAGCCAGAACTTAGATAGACTTAAATTGATTCTGAGTGCACTAGTCTGCTAAAATCTCATTCTTTTTGCAGTGCTGCTCCCTCATTCTTCATTGCTGCAACAATTTTGTTAAAAGTGTAGTTACTGTGATAGCTCTGTAGGGAAAAAAGATGCGGCATTTTCCAGTGGCAAAAGAGTATAAGATTTAAAAATAGTGTATTTATGTTCAATCTGATTTTTGTAGACATAATTATAAAATCCTGATAACAGATGTACCTAGTGGATATTTTTTCTGAATCTATGGGTGAACTATTAAAAAAACCCATTTATTAATCAGCCTTTTTTTGAAATTGAGAATGACTTCTAGGAGGGCAAATCCATATTGTGAAAATCTGACTTGAACCTATGCCAGAAGTGCTAGTGAAGTTGGTTCTTTCTCCCTGAAAAATTACATTACATAAGATTTTATTATGTTTGTAGAGACAATTAGCTTTACTGCTCTTTCCTTAAAAAATTCATAATCTTGATTTTTCTTTCATTGCCTCTATTGTATTTTAAACAAACATAAAACACTTAAAAATGCAACATAAACCAGGAAGTTTATATTCCAGCACATTTTGTGTTAATAGAATTAATCACTGTATAATTGAAATCATGCTAGTACTCACTTGACCTGCCTCTTTGATTTAATGCAGAGATTTCTGATTTGTCTTAAACTGCTTGGAAGAAGACTGTGTTTTGAGAAATAAAATTGATTTTGCACAATCTGCTAATGATCAGCAAGGCTTAATGAGTGATTGCCTCAAGAAACCTCATTAATTTGGATGGATGAGCAGGAGTGAAATGCAAAAAGAAGAAAGCATAGTTGCTGCTTGAATGCATCACTTACTGATATTTGATTCTAAAAGTATCCAAAGCCAGTGCAAAGAAAGGATCAGATACCCTTGCTTTACTTTCCTTGACACTTCCAAGTTAGTTTGATTCCTTTGGGGAAAAAAGAAGATAAGTTTTTGATTTTAGTAGTATCTATTCTTTACCAGAACAATGCAGTAATTTCATTCCTTGAAGTGTCATTGTATCAACTTTTTAAATGGTGGAGGATTCCAATCCGTTACTGTGTATTTTTTCATTTTTTCAGGATAGTTTAAAGGAGTCATTGCCTTGAGGCTGTGAATTGGGTGTTTGCTGAAGCCTTTTAATTTTGTAGAAACTACTGGTTGGCTCCTTAGCAAAGGTGAGAGCCTTCTGGTCAGCCTGGTTTCAGCTGTTCACCTCACAAAACTTTTCTGTGGCTGACACAGTGTGGTGATCATTTAAGAGAGACTCTGGAATAAAGTAGGTGGGAAGCAGCAGAAAACAAAGTGGAATGAAAATGAAAAAAATACCAAAGCCTTGATGGGTTGAGATAAATTTTTGAACACCCTTCTTGTACCACCCATCCTAAGCACATGTTCAGTTTCAGGGATAGTAGATATTCCCCCCATACAATCATCTGCACTTGCTGTTATTTAGGGCCATGCTACAGCACCAACAGTTCTGGAAAATGATTGCAAGCCGGGAACAGGTAGTTCTGGCTGCCAGTCTCTCCTCTGTTGTCTGGGAAAGTGGCTGTTTTTCTGACAGAACCTAGGCTTTCATTAGGACCTGGCTGGTTTTTGCTCTCCGTGAGGAGATGATTCTGTAGACCTCAATAACAGCTGTGCAAGGGAATATCTGAAGTGAAGTTTCCCACATTCTGTAGGAAGTAGAAGCTGCACAGCAGAGTAAGAATTGAAATACATGATTTTTGATACCACCTGGTCTGGGTGCTGAATCTCAGGCTGAAGATCTGGTGGCTGCAGAGCATGGCTTTCACAGAGAAAGCTGCCATGCAGATGGTTAAGGATATGATTATGCCCCCAAAATGCATATTAATTTTCTAGTTTCCTGGAGCGTTTGAGAGTGAATTAATGTAAGCTTGGCTGTCAGCCCTCCACTAACTTGTTTTTAAATCATTTAAATTCCTGGTGACTTGTTTTTTTAATCTGTTAGTGGGAATAGTATTTGTTTTCTCTTCCTTATGGAAATGTTTTTAAGTTTATTTTGTTAGTGTTTGTAAGGGAGCTGGAGATCTGAGACACCAGACTTAAAAGAAGAACAAAGTTATTAACTTTTTATTGATTAGTAGATATATACATTTTTTCTTTTACAATAGCCTTACAAATCACAGCACTATTTCAGGTGATGATTTTAATAATCATAATGAGGAATAGAAGGCACTGCTTGTCTCTCAAAGCCCTGTAATAGACATAAACAACTTTGAGAGTCTGCTGAGTTGTATTCTGCTTTGTCAGTCCACAGAGAGATTAATAATGGTTGGATTTTGTAAAACATTAGAAAACTTAAACTTTAGGTCGTGTGGGTATGCATGTATTCTGATATCTTCAGAACATTAGTCTTCCTTGGAAGCAGGCAATGCAACAAAATTAGGGCTTTATGTTAGAAGTCATGCTTTATTTTCTTTCTGGTCTCCAAACAATTATTTTTCAATCTTATTTAACTTCAGTATCAGGTTGGCAGTCTTTCCTTAGTATTATTGAAGTTTTACTAAAGAATTAAGCTTTCTTTCCCAAAATCCACCTCTTAGTGTTGTGGTAAATCGGGAGAGGAGACAGAGGAGCACATGCAAATTGAGCATTTTGTGTATAATGCGTTCCTTGATCAGGTTTACGTGTGCAAACTGGTTCTATTAGTGTGGACCTATGTGTATGAAAAATGAGTGATATGGGTGAGTGTTTAGCGTCATGCAGCTGTTAAAATGCATTTACACAGATTTTTTTGAGTTAGGAGCAAGTTTAACTTCAGCATGCTTCACCGAGGGCTGTTCAGGACCTGCAGAGTCTGGTTAAGTGATGAAGGTGGGCTGCAAAGCTGTTGCTGTGTGACTGGAGAGTGGAGCTCCCTTCCTTCAGCTCTCAGCATTTGTTCCCTTCTCAAGAGTGATCCTCATGTTCCTGCATGGCTGTCTGTCTCCAGCATGCTGTCCCTGTCCTGTGTCCTGCCTCAGCATACACACACACACACACAGACACACACACGCACACAGATGTGTGTCATTGTCATTTTATGTGTGGTCCAAAATCTGAGTTTGTGGCTTTGATGGTACAGTGAGCAGTGCACCTGAAGATGATGGACTCAGTCCAAAATTTGAATGTATAGCTGTGTCCTGGTTGTTAAATACAACATGCTGTTTGTGTCACTGTTTCTGCAAAGAAGGCAGGGTTTGAAAGACTGAACAACTTAAGGGAGTGAACAGCCAAGGCTCTTCTGTGGCCCATGTTACACAAGGTCATAAATTTCAAGCATAAATGATCACAATTTCTCCTTTTGTACTTAAAATTTCTATGTCCATGTGAAATTTGGGAGAAATGTTGAGTAAAGTTCCACTGACGAGATAGAACTACACAAGGAGAGAAGAAAAAAGTATACTTTCTAGTGCCCATCTGTGTGAACTAGGGACTTTTCTGTTGATTTATTTTCTGCCTGCAGGTATATATAGCTCTTTTCTTTCTATTGCAGGAGCAGCCTACAAAACCAGATATACTACTGGACTCTCAAAGTGTGGATGATCATGGGAGAACAACTGTTAAAGAACAGCATCCTTGATCAATTTATTAATAGCCATGAGCAGTCCTATGAGGAGTTTCTAAGTACATTCACATATCTTTTGAAAGGTATGTATGTAATTTCCCAAATCTCCTGTTAGATACCACAGACAGAAGGAAAGATAAAAAGACGAGCAGTGGTATTTACTCACCTGCTCTGTGACTTTAGGCAAATCCTTGTGAAGCTTTTTTTTTCCCTCTCAGCAGTGGGAACCTTAAGGACAACTTTCTAAAGATTGTTTCCCAGGCTGCTGTGTCTCTACAGGTGGTTAGCCATTTATGCTTGCTTTGGGGAGGAGGGGGGAACATGCACTGTTTGGAAGGATAGATGTTTCCTAAGTACATCTTGCAGTGTTTTGCTTGAGAAGTCTCCATAAAAGAAGAGCCTAAGGAAAGTACTTAATAGTGTGAGATGGCCTGAGATTAGAAGTGTGCAATTTGGGTACTTTTACAGCTTTACTGACACTAGATGACTGTGCTGTGCCTGTGCTTGTGCCTTCTAAAAAGTGATTGCATTCTGTGATGAAACAGTTACCTGGAGGGATGTGGATATTGTCTAAATTGATTTCAGCAAGGCTTTCAACACTGTCCTTCACAAAATCCTTGTAGGCAAACTCAGGTGAGCTGGATTAATGGACAGTGAGGTGGGTTGAGAACTGGCTGAGTGGCAAATCCCTGAGGGTCATGATCAGCTCACAGGGTCTGGCTGGGGCCCTGTCACTGGTGGTGTCCCGCAGGGTTCAATGCTGGGCCCAGTCTGGTTTACCTAATTCATCACTGACTTGGAGGAAGGGGCAGAGGCCTCCTCAGCGAGTTCCTGCAGACACAAAGCCAGGAGCAGTGGCCCATACCCCAGAGAGCTGTGAAACCCTTCAGAAGGGCCTGGACAGGCTGGAGAGAAGGGCAGAGAGGGACCTTCTGAAATTGAACAAGGGCAGGTGCAGGTCCTGCTCCTGGGGAGGAACAACCCCCTGCAGCAGCACAGGCTGGGGGCTGAGCTCTTGGAAAGCAGCTCTGTGGAGAAGGACCTGGGGGTCCTGGTGGAACACAAGCTGTCCAAGAGCAGCAGTGGCCAAGAAGGCCAATGGGATCCTGGGGTGCATTTGGAGCAGCATTGCCAGCAGGCCGAGGGAAACGATCCTGCCCCTCTGCTCAGCTCTGGTGAGGCACATCTGGAATTCTGTGTCCAGTTCTGGGCTCCTCAGGGCAAGAGAGACTTGGAGCTCCTCAAGCAGGTCCAGCAGAGAGCTGCAGAGATTATTGAGGAGCTGGAGCATCTCAGTTAGGAGGAAAGGCTGAGGCAGTCTGGCCTGTTCCGCCTTGAGAAGAGATGAATGAGAGGGGACCTTATCAATGCTGTAGGTGTGTGACAGGAGGGTGTCAGAGGATGGAGCCAGGCCTTTCTCAGTGGTGCCAAGCAATAGGAAAAGAGGCAATGGGTAGAAACTGATGCACAGGAGTTCCACCTGAACATGAGGAAGAAGATATTTGCTTTGCAGGTGACCAAACACTGGATTGCCCAGAGAGGGTGTGGAGTCTCCCTCAGTGGACATTCTCAAGATTGCTCTGGATACAATCTTGTGCAAGGTGTTCTGGGTTGTCCCTGCTTTGGAAGGGAGGTTGAACCAGGTGACCCACTGTGGTCACTTCCAACCAGGCCCATCCTGTGCCAAGCTAACAGGTAACTTGGATGAAGGTACAGCAGGACATCAGATAGATGATTAGGCTGAAAAGATCTCACGCTCGGCAGATGAAATAAAAAGTGGAGCTAACCTTGATCTGAGCATTGCTGAGTTACAAGAATTCCAATTCTGTAGCTCAGGTTCACATTTTTTAACCATGTTCAGACAGGTGCCATAAAAATAAGTGCAAGCTATATATTACTCACAGTTCTCTTTACCACTGCTTTGCACTTGAAGTGATGTCCTCATACTATTGCAGAAGCACTGTATTTTTCAATTACAGCATGTGGCATGCCCCATTGATTGGTACTCAGAAGTCTGTCCTGTCCTTATCCTTCAGGCAGAACTAAGTGCCAGTCACAAGCATTGAGCAGGAAACCAGTGGGGGAGCTGAAGCTACCACAGGAATAATCTTGTGGCAACTTTCTGTCTCTCCTGCCTATAAAATATAGAAGAGAAAGGAGACACTGGGGGATGAGATAAGAGGATTGAAAATCCGGTTCTGGTCTTCTTATGTATGATTGATACACTGGGGATAGCTCCTATCATAGAAGCATGCTGCATATCATGATGCTACTTGCAAAAAGCCTCAGCGTGTATTTCAGTCACTTGCACTGTCACTGTAGGCATTTGCCACTAAAATCATATAAAAGGTAGAGCTTTACCTGAATCAAATGCTTAGAAATGCAGGTTCTTATGATGGTGTGAACTGAACAGCTCAACTTGTTTTCCTCCCACTTTCATTTTCCTTTAAAAGTACCCAACATGCTGGTTTGCATTATAAACTAGTGACCTGCAAAAATTTTACTTAAAGCATAAAACATACATTGTCATCTGATAGATTTTTGTCTGTCATAACGTTGGAAACAGAAAACACACAAAACTAATTGGATCCCATTGATTTCACAGAGTAACATATTTACAGAAGGTGATTTTCACTTGTGCATGAATTTATCCTAGATGTGCAGTTGGCATTGCAAGGATATTTTCAGCTGAAGTTTCTATGTTATTCTTGAAAGCATCTCATAAGAATCTGATACCCTAGTGATTTTTAAATTTTTATTCAAATGTTAAATTTACACACAGTGAAGCTGTAAAGAATATACCTTGAGTAGAAGGACCCAAACATCCTTGGCTCTTCTAGCCTAGCTAAAAAGAACTTCAGAGGCTATAAATAGCCTGGAGTGACTCCCTGTGAACACATTAGGACCTTCTGCTGAGAGTAGTTTCATTCTTATGAATGTGGGAAGCAGGATTAATGAACTTTTACATTCCTGACTTCAGTTTGGCTTTTTGAGAATTGCTTATATCCTAATCAAGAAAATCACATTTTTAGAAAGTTGTCTTTTTATTGTATCTGAATGTTGATATTACCTTTGATTGTTTCTCTTCTTCCTTCTGCAATTTGGAAAGGTACTCTCTTAGTTCACATAGAACAAGATCTAGAGTCTTTCTAAATTCTGTGTAATTGGTTTCATGATATGTGTTTGGTTTAACTAGCACAGAGATATGTTATAACTTAGCTGGACCATAAAACTATTATGTTTGATATGGAAGTTTAATCTTCCAGATTTTAGTATTCCTAAAAATCCCAGTGGCTCTGTTTTTTAAAATGTGTTTGGTGCAGTGAGAAAATGAGAGTTTATAGACTAATTGACAAGTAAATCCTACAGTAAGACTATTTATCCACATCTACAACTCTGATGGAAAATGGATAAACATATGTGAATATATTTTTGAAACCCTGACCTCAGCCTATAAAACATACTGCTCCAACAGAACATGACCTATATAGCTTAAATAAATAAAATTTTAAAATTATAGGAGTACTTCCTCCGTAAGTAGATTTTTTTTTAAAACCTTTTTTATTGGTTCTGTAATGGATGGGCATTTGAGGGCTAGGTCAAGATTCTAGTTAAGTCTCTTTATTTTTCCTATTTAGAGCATCCAAAGTGTGTTTTTTTGTCACAGGGATAATATTAACAAGATGAATATATGGGCAAAAGTGCTGGTGAACCCATGGAAATGTAATTTAGTAAATTAGAGCATGAGTCCAGGAAGATGAAATCTTTCATACTCACTGTAAAGCTTTGCAGTTGCAGGAGCCTCAGAAGAGTTGAATTTACAAAGGAGTGGATGATACAGATTTCTGCAGATGTGGTCAATGAGTGGTGTGTTCAAAGCTACACACGTTCTAGAAAAACTTTGGACAAAGTCTCATGGAAATCCATCCAACTCCACTTTTGAAAAAATTGCCACAGAGGACAAAAGCCTCTTTCAAATCTTAGGGAGAATGTTTGAAATCTGGTGCAAAGCTTTGATGCTCACAATCAGAAGGCAGCATCTGCTCATATTTTAAAACTTAGAGGAAAAATGGGAAATTCACTGGAGCATAAAATATCTCATTTGACCTTGTACCAAAAATACAGAAAAAAAACCCCAAATGGTCCAAGCTTCAAAATTTTCATATAGATTTTGAATTACTCCTCTCCCACTTCTAAAAATACAGGATTAGGGGTCATTCAGCTGGATAGGAAAATGCTGACATGAACAAAATTCTTACCCAGATCCAAGTTAAGATTTGCATTTTTTCCATGGTTCTGGGCATTTGACCACTAGGATTAAATTAATTCCATTCCTGCTGATAATTTTGCTGTATTTCGTACCCCTCCCACTGCCTGGCAGTGTGTTGAACTCCCTGGAACTTGATTAGACCCATCTAAGCAAGCCACACCTTGGATTGAAACTTCTTAACCCTGGTGCTGTTGTTTTGATGCTTCTGTGTTGAACAAACTGTCAAGTGGAGGAAGTTTGGAAGTTACTGATCACTTCTGTGCTTACAGGTGGCATGCCAGGGCCATATTCTGTGTTGTGCTGAGATTAACTTAATTCCCCTGTGAAAGCTGGGCAAGATATTCAGTTCACAGTCCATTTGACTGTGGCTGTCTACTTCCTTTTTACATTAACCACATTTAGGAAAAACAACAGCTTTAAACTTCCCATATAAGTGTCAGTGGGGGCACTTTACAAATGTCAGTCTTCACAGCAGAAGGCATAGCAGAGAACTATATGAGAAGTGACAGTGAATGCACTTTTATTTTAAAAATGGACCAGTAGGACAATGCTAACCCCAAGAGAAATTTCTACCTATGAGTAGATTTGCCAATAAAAGCAACTAGACAGTTCAGTAAAACGAATTAAATTAATCTGTCATCCCCAGGGAACTTAAACAGGGCATGAAATAGGGAAACAGCGTCAATTCAGGACTTTTTATTGATGTGTTGTGCTGGATCATTTGATAGAATTGGCTGGGAGACAAAATTTGCAGTTTTCTATTGATCATAAATTCAGTAGCTATCTCTGTGTAGCTTTTATTCAATATAGTAT